TATATATATATATTCATTTTAAATAAATTTAATTTCTAAGCAAATTATGTGTGATCCTAAGAATTTTAGCATTATAGATAACTAAATAATACTAATCACAAAACATTATAAACATCAACTATAAATATTAAATGCACTATAAATTAGTAAAAACTCATTTAGAATAGAGTACAAATCTCTAAGCACCTATCCTCCCAAGGCTTCCTAATGCAAACAAAATGTCAACAATAAATGATAAAATATCTCTGATTACATCACATCACAACTATAATAACACTTGCATTATTAAGATGATTGCAATGTACAAGTGTCGAATTAAAATGGGCAATTATATGAGTCTTTTTCTATAGGATGATTTCATGAAGAGATAGAAAAAGATGTAAATCTTATTTTGTATAAAATATATTTTAAATAAATTAGAGCATCCATATTTATTCAAGAAGAAATTTTTGAAAGGTCTCCTCTAATCTTATAGGCTCTCTAAGATTATTTACCCTCAATGACGGTTCTAGAAAATATGTTTGTCATAAGAAATGATACCACATGTTAATTTGCTGGGGTTAACATTATTAAGAGGTAATAATTCAAGAATATTAATAAAATAAGATAATTTATATTAAAAAAATTAGCCCATAATATAGAGAGTGAATCATTATAATCACTCAAAATGACTATTTATTCTAATAATAATTTACATAATAACAATATTTGAATTACCAAAAAGTCAAAAGAAATGTGAAAAAGTTTTAGTGCTGTTAAGTTTTATAAAAAAAAAATAGTTTCATATATATATATATATATATATATATAAAATTCATATACATGTCACACAAGTCATGTATTTATATATCTGACATATATAAAAGGTGAATTTACAATTACAATACAAAGTTTTAATATGACAACAAAATTATCACAATCATTAACTTTTTGAGAGTGAAATACTTCTCATGAACCCTGTAGTGTACATCCAAATGATTTTAGTGTTCTAAGTATAAATATCAAATTTTATGTGTTACATAAGTAAATACATATGACTTGTGTGCTATCTATGTAAATTTTTGGAAAAAAAAATGGAAAATGGAGTGCCATTTGTCGTGACCCTTGCAGCCTTGCAGCAACGGATTTAGAACTTGAGGAGCGGCCGGGTTCTCTTCCCGTTCAACTCCCCGCTTGCAATACCGTAGCTATGACTGCGGCCCTCTTCGGTGCAGTGGCGCCATGCTGCTGCCTCCGGCTAAGACCAGTTCAGTGTCTGCCATCTCCTTCCTCAGTTATGAGCTCCAAGAACCAAGCGTTTCATCCCGAAGGGTCGTCTTCTCGGTTCGGTCTTCGTGTTTACTCGCCATGGATAGGACTGAGGCATGTCTGCCAATCATTCCCCAGTAATTGTAAACAACTAGGTAACCATTTGCTTCTTAATACTTTTTTCCTGCTTCGGGCATAAGGCTTCAAATGCTGGATCTTTAGGTCACGGCCATCTTCCAACTTCCAGGAAAACCTTTTGTTTGTCTGCGTGTGGCGTGTGTCTGGGTGGGTTTTGGTTTGACGTTCTTCAGAAATTATGAAGATGAAAACTAATAATTAATATTAAGTTGAAGGGATGCCTCCAGTGTCTCGGTCTCCCATTTCCATGGGTTACTGCTGGTGTACCCTTACCCTAAAGTTTCAAACATCTCCATATGAATGAGGAGTTTACACTCCACCGTTTAACGTACTATTGTTTGGAATGCTCATGTGAGAAGGGACGAGTCTCATATTTTTCTTTGGAAACGGGAGAAGTCTTCACAAAATTCCAACCAATATGTTGGACTAAACTTCACACTATTGAAATCCCTCTACTTCCACTCCTCCTCTTGATTGTTTGGTGATTGAAAATTGTAGATCCAGTCATTGGCAGTGATGGCGGTGGCACTGATGCCGTAGCTTGAGAAAAGTCTCAAGCTGGACTCTTTATTTAGGATTTTGAGCAAATAATTTGTTAGAATACACGTAAAGTTTAAAGTAGGTGGTTTCACAGAATTGCAAATATGAACGGCAAGAAAACTTAAAACATGTTTGAAGGGCAAGAAAACTTAAAACATGTTTGAAGTTGACTCAATTTGAAGAAATTTCAAGTCAATTTTGAGTTCCATTCCAAACTTGAATATAATTTGATTTCCTTGGCTCACTTGAATATAATTCAAGTTAACTCAGAATATAGTTTGAAGCGATATTAATCAAGTTTGAATCAAAATTTTTAATTTAAAGTTGAATCAAACTTGTTCAGAGTGCACTTGTTGTTAGCCCTGATTACAAATTATCTTTTAATATTTGTGACTAAATATGTTTAAAGAATTGTCAGAGAATGTGTTGTTTTCAGATATTTCAAGTCAAAATTTAAACATGATTTTGATTTGAAATTAATTTCCTTAAACTTCTATAAATATGTTTAAGACAGGAAAGGAACAAAATGTAGTGGTGCTTTAGAATTTGATGCGTTGCTATGGGTTGGGTTTTGATGAAGGAATACATTGGGTGCTAATTGAGTATTGGAATTAAGTAGAGAGATAAGAAAAAAATGGTTGTTTGTGACTGTTGAGTATTATCTTGATGTATTCTATACATAGTCTGGAAGGTACCCTTTTAATAATTTTTCAATAAACGGTCTCTCTTTTTCTTGGCATGAGAGATTTGAAATTTTTTTGGTTAGAAACAGCGGAATTTGGTTTGGATAAGTATGTTTTCTTGTATATATATATATATATGATGGATTGGATAGTTTCTCCTCCCCCATTGGATGTATGATTATTTTGACCAAATTACATAGGATTCAGTATATTTCAAGGCAATGCCTACCTACAGTAATGGTATATATAAGTTTCATGCCAAGTAAAAGGATTTTCCTTTAATTAAAAAAGAAAAGAGCATTCTTACTGAGTTTCTCTTGGTTTGAAGAGGAAAGAGCAATGCTCCAATGATAACAACAAAACAAATGAGTTAGTAGATGCCAATGTTATCAAAATTTGCTGTATACAGATTTAAGTACTTCTCTTTTTTTTATTTTTTGACTCAAATGATACAGTTGATGGTTTTTAGATTCAAATTGTTCATACTATAATTGCTATCATAAGTAACCATTTTTCACGAATAGGTGCTGTGTTGATGATTATGCTTTTTTGGACATTATGAAGTTAAGGGTAGAAGATGCTTTGACTACATTGTCGATAAGAGTTACACATGTACTAGACTTCATGAAGTATTTAGTTTATTTGTTTAGGGTTGGCCAAGTAAGATGCATGCTCTCGGGAGATGCATTCAAGTTCATAAAGTTTATTTAGATTCATTGGCTCTCATGAAGGTAAAATAGGAGGGTGCTACTATGGAAGAGGGTAATTGAACGTAGGTTAAGACGTATTACAAAGATTTTTCATAATCAATTTAGATTTCTGTCAGGTAGGCCTACTATGGAAGCTATACATTTATTGAGAGGTTTGATGGAGAAGTTCAGAGATAATAAGGAGGATCTACATATGATTTTTATTGAGTTAGAAAAAACTTACGATAAGGTTCCAAGAGATTCTTTGGAGAGTTCTTGAGAAGAATGGTGTTGATATGACTTATGTTCAAGTCATTAATGATATTTATACAAGAGTTGTTACTTGTTTTCGAACCGAAGGAGGATTGACCAAATATTTTCCTATTTCTGCTGGTTTACATCAAGGATCAGCTTTAAGCCCAATCTTTTGTGCTTTAGTTATGGATGGTCTTGCTGGACACTGCTGGACGCCTTCTGGAGGATGTACCTTGGTGTATGCTTTTTGCTAACGATATCCTTCTCGTGGATAAGGCGCGAGAAAAAGCTTAGGAAAAAACTTGAATTATGGAGTCTAAAGGCCTTCATTTGAGTAGAACTAAAACTGAATACTTGGAATGTAATTTTAGTAGTAGTAGCTCTAGTGACAGAAATGTAAATATGAATGATCAAATTATTAAAGGTGTGAACGCTTTAGATATATGGGGTCTATTATTCAAAGTGATGGTGATATTGATGAGGATGTTATTAGTAGAATTCAAGTTGGTTGGTTGAAGTGGAGAAATGCTTCACGCCTATTGTGTGATAGAACTGAAAGGAAAATTTTATAAGATGGTGGTGAGGCATGCAATGCTCTATTGCGCTGAATGTTGGCCTTTAAAAGAGAAGCAAAAAACTAATTTAAGTGTTGTCGAGATGAGAATGATTAGGTGGATGATTGGCTTCACACTTAGAGACAAAATGCGAAATGAATATATCCGTGATAGGGTTGGTGTAGCTTCAGTGACGGAAAAAATTAGAGAGAGTCGTCTTAGATGGTTTGGTCACATTAAACGTCGACCATCTGATGATCTGATTAGAAGAGTAAATGTTTTATATTCGACTTATGTTAAGAAAGGCAGCGGCAGACCTAGGAAGTTTTGGGCATATTGTATAAAAAATGATCTTAATTTATTAGAATTAAATGAAAATATGACCTAAATAAGACGCAATGGAGAAAAAGTATTCATGTAGCCGACCCCACTTAGTGGGATAAAGGTTTTGTTGTTGTTGTTGTTGTTGTTGTTGCTGCTTGGTCATACCTTTATAATGCTACAATGAGGTCATAGCTACTTTGGGGTTATGAAAACTCGGCGTCAGTTGACTTTTGACATTAATGGGTTTATTTAAATGTGCAACAATAGTGTTTTAGAGGTCTATTATTGAGGTTATATGATTTTCAAGTATTTGTACTCATATAAGTTGGTCGGGCATCTGCTTGTCAATTATAAGTCCTCTCTAGTCTAGGGTTCGATTGCCCCCGAGTATAGGGTGTGGTACTCGAATTTTTAGGCGCATGAGGGATGGTTAGAGCTCGTATAATAGCCTCAGGCCATTCCTTTAAAGAAAAAAATTGTTTTGGTATAAAATCAAGTTTAAAAATTTTTAAAGAAATTATTTTGGATTACTCCAAGTTTAAATTTAAACTTTATTTATATTTGAAACTCTCCTCCTTAAACTTATATAAATCTATTAACTAGGAGTGGGACTCAGATGCATTGATGTTGAAGAAATTGTTGCATAATCATGAATTGCATTTTGGCAAAGGACTAATTTGAGTGTAAGCTGAAAATGAAAATTAAAGATGTATTGGAGTTAAATAAGAGAGAAAGACCAATAAGAAGGAAATTTTTTTTCTATGATCATTAAGTACTATTTTAATATGGTGAAAGTATATTAGTGTTAATAATGTTTTGATGTTCCAAAAACAAATGGGTAAGTACCATTTTTAGAAACTTTTAGCGAGTAATTTTTAGTCTTTGTTGAATTTTCTTTACTCATTTCTCTTTTATGTTTTTTTTTTCTGTATTAAAGATTTAAGACTTTTCTTTTTTGATAAGATTGGGTATATTTTGGTTTATAGAAGAATGTTTTCTTGTTTTACATTGATTTCATACATTTTTGTTGTTTTTTTGTGATAGACCGTATTATTTCTCTTCTCTTGTGATGTAGCTTTTTTAGCCGAGTTACATGAATCTTGTTTTCTTTTTTCAATATTTGATCGCTTTATTTTTTTACTTTTTATGTTCACATATTCTCTCACAACAGTTTATTTTACATAAAATTAGTTTTTTTCTTGTAAACCTTGGATTCAGAGAAACACAAATTTAACAGAAAAATCCTTCCATTTGAATTTCACATGAATTTCGAGGTTGAAGTGAACACAATGATATCTAATTTTCGTGGATAAATATCAACTACTCGGGTTATTTCTGCTTATCCCATTGCCAAATTCATAAATAAAATTAGGAATTTGGAAACGTGTCTGTCTCCTAGTAAATTTTACATTGAAGGAAGACCTATTTATTTGCCTTTTTCTTGCCTTCTATATCACAGGGAAGAAGAGGACGTCTAGATGTATGGTTGCCTATGCTTCTCTATTTGGAGTTGGAGCTCCAGAAATTCTAGTAATTGGTGTGGTGGCTCTGTTGGTGTTTGGACCTAAAGGTCTAGCAGAGGTAAATTCTTTAGTCTGACTTAACGAGTCTCTCTAGTATTGACCAGGAACTTTCAAAATTTTTTAATCCACAATTAGTTTTAGATGTTGTACTTTGGATGATGCAGCAACTATTAGGTATGCTTTAAGCTTGAAATATTCCTTTTAGCTACAAAGCTTCTCCCATTTTTAGTAATGGCTGATGTTTTCTATTTTTTGGGAATGTTTATGACACCGGAGTTGAACTAAGGAATAATAGGAAAGTCAAATATTTTTGCTGAATTCAAATAGAGAGTTACAAACATACAAAGGGAATATGAAATAACAACTACACAATACACAAACTCACACTAGGGGTTCGATCCTAATGTGGTGATGATCAGTTATGAGGATTGGAAGGGGCCACAAGTGGCTGGAATGATGATATGGGGGTTGGTGGACAGCAGTAGCAACTACAAAAGGGGTGTGGACTGCGGTTCAGGGATGACAGCAAGTATGGGGGCTGGACGCAGGGCAGCAGTACAGAGGTGGGCATGGCTGCTGGGAAGTCAGGGGTTGGATCTGCAGGGAGGGGGCAGCAAAGGTTGCTGGCGGTTGGACCTGCTGGATGGCAGTGAGGAGAAGCTGGACGGTGGGGGATTGCAGGAGGGCAGCACGGGGTTGGCAGCCGGATTGGCAGGACATGAGGAATCAGCAACAGAAGGTGGATAAGGCGGCAGTGAGGTTTGGTGGCTACCGGAACAGCACAGGCGCTGTTCTTCTAGGCGGCTGCAGCAGGGAAGGCGAAGGAGGCAGCAGAGGGAGGTATGCAGAGGAAGGATAGTTGAGGATAGTCACCATCTTGGGAGTGAGATACAACTGGAGCACCCCTCGACACTTGGATACAACCCTAGCCGGAAAAACCTGAGATGCCGATGACTGTCTAAGAGAAAACTCACAAAACTCCTCTAAAATATGACAAAAAAAACATATGTAAATTTAGGTGAACTAACCCGTGAACCCCACTCCCAATAAACGGCAAATCCCTGCTTGGAAGGATCGGTCGGTCCCTTTTCTGCTTGGACCGAACCAGTCTATGATGGGAAACACAACAATTGCCGCGCCTATGGCGCCTTGGTTACCGGTCCTTTCTCTGCTTGGACTGAATCGGTCCAGAATGGGAGACACGGCAATTGCTGCCCCTATGGCACCTGGACGCCCACATCAATTTATGTGCCGCCTCTTCAAGGGAGAATGAGAAAATTGTTTTATTAAAGGAAGAGTTACATACATACCATTCAATCCCTATGTCTTTACATATCTAACACCTAAATTTTAATTTTTACGTATGTCACCTTACCTATGCGTGAAAAGATGTATTTCACAGTTTAAATGTTAAAAAAGTGGTATGTTTGATGTGATATGAAAGATTTGGGTGGTATAAATGTAAAAGGTAAAGTTTAGGTGTTAGATATGAAAATCCATATGAATTGGGTGGTATGTATGTAAGTGCCCTTTTATTAAATTGTGTGGCATTTGAGAACTAGTTGTTGGCGAACTCTGGACAGGTACAATAATATGCATCAAATAAAAGCATTTGTTTGGAATGTAATTGTTTATGAGGTTCCTGAAAGGATTTAGCGCCTTGTTCCAGATTTTAATTATTTTGTTAGACTGGATAAAAAATTCAAGTTTAGGGTAACAAAATGGCCATTTATTAATTGAATTTATAGAAAGTTTGGATAGAGCTGCCAATATATGTAATCGAAAGACAAGAATGGTCATTTATCTCTTCGGGCACTATAATTTTTAGGGTTGTGAATAGGTTGATTTGGCCTCTCTATCCCAATTAATAAAAAAATTGACTTTGTTGAGGACTTGATGCAAGATTTTTAATCATAGCAACATTTATATAGCATGATCCGACCAAACCAAGAAAATTATATTTCTTTTTGTGTGATTCTTGATCGGTCTTATTTAAACTATTCTGTTAAATTTAGAAATTGTTTCAAGAGTTTAAATATAAAAAATTCCAATTTATCATAAGATGGTTTGCCACAACAGATTTCCCAATATCTGGAAGTGAGATCTGACATGAATTTCCCCGTTTAATGTCTTAGAAACTAAAACTGGGCTCTAATACTATGAATCCACCTGAAAAATGCAGTTTGGTTTGGTTTAGATTAATACAATTATCTTTATTAGACATGGATTATCCCATTTGCTGAGAAGAAGTGGTTAGGAAAACTTGTATTTTTCATTCTTTCAATGACTATTTATACACAAACCTATATAAAAATAAATAAAAATAAAAAATTGCAATAAAAAACACAAAAAATTGCTCTTAGTTATCCTGTTGTTTGATCTATTTAAGGATTGATGCCAAGAGAGCAATATGTGTTTTTTTTTTCTTTTTTAATATGAGTTTGTGAGGGCGGTATTTCTTCTAAGCAATGAATTCATGGCTTATAATTCTTATATCTAGCACTCCATTGGCTCTTCTTGATCTAATGGTCATTTAACATTCTCTCTCAAATTGTATGATTGAGATTTACCGATCTTTAGAAAATATTTTAGTAAATTGTTTTTTTTTTGCGACATATAAAGTGCAAAATAATTAATTTTTTATGTTTTTTTTATAAAATATCTGTCCACTTTCACTTTTTTGGTATGGTCGTGCTATACAAAATTATAATCAATGTTGATTGCATATTTATTGTCATGATACGCAAGACTAAATTTTTAAATCTCCTAAAATAATTTTAATTCACAGGAGTTCGTGGATCTTTCAAGCAATTGCTTTGATTTGAATTCGGCACTATTCTTGAAATGATGAGTTATTTTTTGCGTTTTCATTTTCTAAGTGATACCAGAGTTAACTCAAACAACAATAGGAAAAGTAACTATTATTACTTAAAGCAAGTAGATGCTCACAAATTACAATCAACACATTTGCAAGAAAAAATACAACTAGACAGGCGAAAATTTGAAATAACAACAACAATGATACAAACACTCAACTATGGTAGATCTCGAGTGGTGGTGGTGACTGTTAAGGGCTTGGAAGGTGGCGACAAGGTTGGGAAGGTGCGGGGCTATGAGGAAACCGTGGAAGGCAACGTCAACTTGCTGTCTTGGGCTGTAGCATGCAGGGAGTTTTTGTAACCAGCAGGAACCGATACCTGGGATGTTGGAATGAGGGAGGACAACAGTGGGATGGTGCCAAGTTTGGGAGAGAAAAAGGTGGCTGGGAGGGTAAAATACTGCAGGAAAATAGTGATTTTCTGCTGTTCCGGGTGACATAAATGAAGGAAATAGTCAGGAAGCAATGCAGGGAGATTGGGAAAGTGTGGAGGGCGGGTGTGTGGGGCAGCAAGCGGTGGTTGGAAATGGAGGAACTATAGACAGTTGTTGCGGACGGAGAATGATATAAACTACTGGGGAGTGACTTGGTGAAAATTGGGAAGAGGATAGGGAAGATAATCACCATCTCGGGAGAGAGATACAACCAGAGCACCACCTAAATCCTTAATAAATCCCTCGAATGGCGAAGCCAAATGCTGGCGGCTGTCCTAAACAAACTCATGCCAAAAACTTCTCATTCAAACTCTAATATAACACATATGTAGGAAATAACTAGAAAGAAAAGAAAGGAAAGTAGGAAACTTGCTGGAAAGAAAACGACTTAAAACAATTTGATTTGGTTCTACATTTCTCATGCGACCCGGGAACTACGTCGAGTCCACACGTGGAAGATCGGTGGGTCAGTTTCCTTGGGTTAGGGAAGCTTCAACTCCATCTGTTGAAGCTTTTGTTTCCTTATAGTATGAAATCAGATCAAACACAATGAAAGTAGCGAAGCTGTTGTAACCTTAAGAAGTTGAAGGATATTCGACTATGTCCCTAAGAGCATATGGATCCCGTTGTTGGCTACACTATCACCCAAAACACTTGAGTTTTCCCAACTTGCGAGCAGCCATCCATATCGATCCAATCTTATGGGGGCGCACTTAGGAACTAAATTAGGACTGTGTGTCACTTATATTCTACTTAATCTTTCAAATTAGGATTGCGTGTCACTTATATTCGACTGCTCATCCCTCATAGTTTCAGTTTGTAAGATTTGTCGAATCATAAGCATCTCGTCGTCATGCGGTGGAAGAAGGCTATTCACCCTTTTAACTACTTTCTCTTCGCTCATTCCTTCACTACACCCTGCTCGGTGATAAACACAACTCGGTTCGTCGGACAATTAGAAGCGACGTGTCCAAAATCATGACATTGAAGCATTATCTGGCTGGAACTGTAGTGGGCGGGTTGCTTTCTCAAGATTCTTTTTATTCTGAGTGGCATTGTCATACTCTTGATCAGTCTGCTCCACTTCCTGAGGTGTGCTCCTTCTAAATTCTCCAACTGTGAGTGGTTGTCTGACCAGAGGTGGTTGCTGCTTCTGCTTCCATTTCTATTATCTCTTTACTTGCAGTGCTAAGATCTACTTGTCCCTCAGTGTCTAATAGCATTGCAGTTGAACGACATTACTGATGGCGGGCTTCAAGACTCCCAAGTACCTGGATATGGTTTGGTTCTCTATCTTCTTCAGCTCACATATCAAATTTAGTTGCATAAATTCTGCTGTGTGCTCCTCCAAAGATAGCTCCTCTACCGCAGATAGTGGAGCTTCAAGCAATATTCTAGTGGTACTGTGCGAGTAGCTATTGTTGCCACATTGCCTCATTCATTTTCTCTCAAGAAGTGATTATGTCATGTCCTCTCCGTCTCTCCCTCTTCATGTTCTCCTACAACAAAGAAATATTCTTCAGCTTGATGGAGGCAAGCTTCATTCTTCAGCCATCAGGCACTTCCTTTTATTCAAAGATTTGCTCAATAATTTGCATTCGCTCGAGGAAATCATCTGGATCCATTCTCCCATTGAAGTCTTGTAGGTCCACTCTCATTCCCAGATCTCTGTATCCTTCAATAGGCATGTCTTCTTTATATCTTTTAACAAACACTTCATCTTTACATTCTCTAAGAGACATTTCA